GGCCCCGTTACCGGGGTGGGCCCCGTTACCGGGGCGGGCCGGGCCGGGATGCGTGGTCAGGGCGAGGGGATGGGCCGCGCCACCGGGGCGTGGAGGGGGAGCCGCGGTGCTTGGGGGCATAGCTGGGGAATCTGGGGCTGCCGGGGGTCCTGGGTGCGCCGGGGGGGTGCCGGGGTGTTGGGCACATTGCAGGGGAGCTCCAGCTCCGCACCCCCGAGGCACCTGGGAGGCTGGAGCTGCCCCTTCCCCCGCCGACCTTGATTTGTCCCTTTCTTTCCGCCCCCCTTCCGCAGGACGGGACTATGCAGCCCAGCCAGCCCCCGCCGCCAAGGCCGGCTCGACCACCGGCCGCATCGTGGCCGTCATCGGTGCGGTGGTGGACGTGCAGTTCGATGAGGGGCTGCCCCCCATCCTCAACGCCCTCGAGGTGCAGGGCAGGGAGACCCGACTGGTGCTGGAGGTGGCTCAGCACCTGGGTGAGCATCTGCCGCAGGAGGGCTGCAGGGGGTGGGAGAGGGTCCTCCTGTGATGATGTGTCTTGATGACTTTCGTTCTCCTGAGCTTGCTGAAGCCACGGATTTCAATCTGAGGAGGAGGAAAATGGCTGCTGGAGGGCTCTGGCCTGCAGGGCTGCAATCCGAGTGTGGCCTGGGCTTGGTTTTTCTCTGTGCTGTTTTGTTCTTGGGTCCTGCTGCTCCTCTCAGTCCTCCTCCCAGCAGGTTGTTCCCTTGACAGGGCCTGGGGAAGCCACCGGCAGCTGTCCCCAGGGTCAGCTCGAGGACGCTGCTGTGATGCTGTCCTTGGGCTTTGGCAGGGGAGAACACCGTGCGCACGATCGCCATGGATGGGACAGAAGGCCTGGTGAGAGGACAGAAGGTGTTGGACTCTGGCGCGCCCATCCGCATCCCCGTCGGCCCCGAGACCCTGGGCAGGATCATGAATGTCATCGGGGAACCCATCGACGAGAGGGGCCCCATCACCACAAAACAGTGAGTGATGCTACGGGCCAGAAGCCAATGTCATGTGGGGTTTGGAGCGGGGGAATAGGTTCTGGAGTAGCAGACACATGAGTGAACAGGGATGCGGCACGTTCCCGCCATCCTCCTGTTCTCCTGGGTCATAAGCAGGGACTGCACTTGCGCAGTCTCCTGTCAGCACCCTGACCAAGGGTCTCGCTTCAGCTGCTCAGCTCCGTTTCTCTCCGCATTCTGTTGCAGGTTTGCTGCTATACATGCCGAAGCCCCCGAGTTTGTGGAGATGAGCGTTGAACAGGAGATCCTGGTGACAGGGATCAAGGTGGTGGACCTGCTGGCTCCCTACGCCAAGGGCGGCAAGATAGGTACATTGCCTGCAGAGGAAGAGTGGGTGTCTGGGGAGGGGGGCACCCTGCCAGCCCTGCTGAGGCTCGGGACCAGTCTGTCTGCAGCAGTTTCCTTCACTGATGAGTAACTATTTGACTTTCGTTCTTCTGAGCTTTCTGAAGCAACGTTTATTGATCTGAGGAGGAAAGAGGTGAAGGGAGACACCAGAGGCAGCTGGATCATCTTAGGGTTGAGCAGGAGTCCTCTTCCCTCCTAGGTTTGTTTGGAGGTGCTGGTGTTGGCAAGACAGTGCTGATCATGGAGCTGATCAACAATGTGGCAAAAGCCCACGGTGGTTACTCAGTGTTTGCTGGCGTGGGGGAGCGAACCCGTGAGGGCAACGACTTGTACCATGAGATGATTGAGTCTGGGGTCATCAACCTGAAAGACGCCACTTCTAAGGTGCGCTGGGTCTCCCGAGGGGGCTGGGTGGGGTCCTCGCAGCGCTGGCAGCAGAGCCGTGCCGTACCGACACCTGGCTCTGGCCCGCAGGTCGCCCTGGTCTATGGGCAGATGAACGAGCCCCCGGGTGCCCGCGCCAGAGTGGCTCTGACAGGATTGACGGTGGCCGAGTACTTCAGGGACCAGGAGGGTCAGGACGTGCTGCTCTTCATCGACAACATCTTCCGCTTCACCCAGGCTGGCTCAGAGGTCTGTGCTCGGTGCGGGGCCACTGGTGTGCTGGCTCCTGGAGCTGAGCGCGGTGGTGGTCAGGCTGCGCTCTGCAGGGGACGCCTGCCCGCCCCCTCCCCTTGTGCAGCCTCTCACGGGCTCTGTTCCCTCCCAGGTGTCGGCCTTGCTGGGGAGAATCCCCTCTGCTGTGGGCTACCAGCCCACGCTGGCCACCGACATGGGCACCATGCAGGAGAGGATCACCACCACGCGCAAGGGCTCCATCACTTCAGTGCAGGTGAGGGCGGGGCTGGCCCCGCCGTGCCGGGGAAGCCGCGGCGCCCGCCTCGGGCCCACCGTCCCCTCCCGCCTCCCCAGGCCATCTACGTGCCAGCCGATGACTTGACCGACCCTGCCCCCGCCACCACCTTCGCCCACTTGGACGCCACCACCGTCCTGTCCCGTGCCATCGCTGAGCTGGGCATCTACCCGGCCGTGGACCCGCTGGACTCCACCTCCCGCATCATGGACCCCAACATTGTGGGCCCTGAGCACTACGACGTGGCCCGGGGCGTGCAGAAGATTCTGCAGGTGAGGGGGCCGGGGCAGCCCCCCACGGGGATGCTGGGGCTGGGGGCGCAAAGCCCAGCACTGGCTGCTCACCCCACATCTCTCCCCGCAGGACTACAAGTCCCTGCAGGACATCATTGCCATCCTGGGCATGGACGAGCTCTCTGAAGAGGACAAGCTGACGGTGGCCCGGGCTCGCAAGATCCAACGTTTCTTGTCGCAGCCCTTCCAGGTGGCCGAGGTCTTCACCGGCCACATGGGCAAGCTGGTGCCACTGAAGGAGACCATCAAGGGCTTCAAGCAGATCCTGGCAGGTAAGATGGCCCCCGGGGGGGGCCCCGGGCTGGGCATGGAGGAAGCCGGGGACCCAGGGGAGCCTGGGCTGGGCTTGGCAACCCCGCTCCCCTCCCTGACACGGCATCTCCCCCCAGGTGAATACGACCACCTCCCGGAGCAGGCCTTCTACATGGTGGGGCCCATCGAGGAGGCGGTGGCCAAGGCGGAGAAGCTGGCTGAAGAGCATGCGTGAGGAGGGCCCCCCCCGGCCCCTGTGCTGCCCTCCCCTCCCGGCTCCGCCTGGGGCCGGACCCCCAGTATTTAACGTTTCCAATAAAACATCGCTGAAAACAGCCCAGGGCCCTGTGTGCCGCAGCTTCTGTTCATGGGGGGGGCAGGGGTCCTGCGAGTCCCCCCTGCCTGTGGGATGGGGAGGCTGGGCTCCCACTGCCCCCCCCCCGCGCTGGGCTCCCCTCCACTGTGGGATGGAGGGGCAGCAGGCCAGGCACGGCGAGGGGCTGTGCTGGGGTCTGGACTCAGCTGCCACTGGCAGTGCAGGGACCCTCGGTCCTGGGGGTCCCCAGGAGTTGGGAGCGATCCCCCTTTGCGTGCCAGAGACTGCCGGGGGGCGAACGCTGCTCCCGTTGTCTGTCTGTCGTCGTCCCGGTCCCGTCCCCCCCCACCCGGTTCCGGCTCCGGCTCCCCCATTTTGCAGCACAAAGAGGTGCCCCGGGGCAGGCTGCGGCCCCGGCCCCGGCAGCTGCGGCTTTGTCCCCGGGGTCCCGGGGGGCCTCGCCGGCCCGGCCCTGCCCTCCTCGGTGCGGGGCTGCGGACCCGGCCCCGGCCGCGCCC